TGTGTACACGAATAACCACAAATTCACTCATACACTTTGCATATGTAATCTCCATGCCAGTTCTTAAGATAACCTGTAAGTATTCCCTGGAGAAGCCCGGCGGCTCTCCTGTGGGTGGAAACCTGGCACACGCTGGGGGAGCTCCTGTGCGCGCCGGTGCGGGGAAGACGTCATTTTTAACATGATCAGGAGGCCGCTTTTTATCGCCTTGCTTGCGTTTGTTCTTCGGACTGTTCGTGTTAGTTACTTGTGTGCACAACGTTATCGACACGGGTAAACTATCCCTTACTCTGAAGTTGTTGTTTTTTTACATAAACTCACGTTATATTGGTTACATGTTAGTTTTTTTTTCGAAGATAATGTACCTGACAAACTCGTCTGTTGTGCGTCATACTTGTTTCCAGAATTTGATAATTGATTTTGCTGTTTTTGTTTTTGTTGTGCAGACTAGAAATGGCGACCATAAGGATTTGTTGATGAAGAGATAAAAATACAATATATTCTTCAAAGTAATTCATTCTAGGTTATATGCAAAGGAAGAACAAAAGGTTCGAGAATGAGGCTCAGTTAAGAAGCTCAGATTTCAGAATGAATTAGATTCCGTATACCTGTGTCTTTTTTTTCTTTCTTTTCTTTTTCCGGAAATGCATGTGGACTTTTTCTTCGTTTGTTTTTCTATAAATGACTCTGGTGTCGGAAAAATGTTATAAATAGTCATCAAAGTTTACACTGATGTGTGATCTGTCTATTTATTTGTCAAGAACAATGTAAGTGCAGAGAAATTTACTCATCATTACACAAGCAAGCAGTAGACATGGTTACATAATAGCATGCACCTTATCAATTTATCACAGACTTCTTAGTGTCATATGTGGACAGGTATTTTGTAATTAGATGTATGCCTTATTATATAACGTTATATTAGTAGTGTCTACCCACTGAATAGAAACTCCCACGTAAACACACACGTTGATAATTATCAACTTCGAAAACGTGATCTGAATACGAACTCTCACTGTGACTTTCGATGCTGATGCACTCTTATGAACTCTCCACATTTTCACCTCAGAGAAAAGTATCTGTGCGCATGAATGGAGTTCAGTCATGTGTGAATGTATGTAAGTGTGTGTGTGTTGTGAATGCGTGTGTATAATTTACTGTACTGCATGTATGTAATATAATCCATTGAAACTATGGAACAAACCTTCGCGTAGGTGAACACACAATCACGGGCGCGTAGATGTGGCAGTGTGGTTAGCTGGTTGTGTGTCAGGGTCACAACCACTATCTGCACTGCTCCCTCTCCGCGACCCCCTGCCGGCGCCCCTGCTCCTCCCCCAACCCACACCCAACACACATGGGTCGCTGGATCGCCTCATCCGGGAAGCATCGCACAAGACCAGATGCACCGACGCTTGGTACGCCTCGACCGGACTCCTTTTGCCCATGGCTTCTCTCTTAATAACAGTTGCTCTACATGCAGGCTTGTGTGTAGAGGATGTAGTAACTTTATTCGCATTTGAGACCCATTCCTTTTTTTTCGCAACAGCATTGTCTTTTATTCCCGGGTTTTGTTATATTTAAGGAAGATGGAATACGTGTATATTCTTTATCGTGGTTTGAGGTCTATTGCTTGGATTTTATTAGATATTAATGGATTAATAGTTTGCGTAGGTAGGCAGGGATGAGTAAATAGGCATCAGTGGGATTTTGTATTTGGTGTATTTTGAAAGGATATATATTGGGCAAATTACTTACTAAAGATTTTAGTAGATGAGTTTTTGAGACTGCAGAAAAAAATTGGTTTATCTTTAAGAATATCTTTTAAGAATTTGTTATAAGATATTATTTAAATGTGAAAATTCCATTTGCTTCTGTGGCCGTGTAATTATTTTCCAGTTGTACATACATGTATATTATCAGTTTTGAATTCTATCACTCGATACATCAGTTATTTCACATATTCCTCATATATTGTCCTAATTTCTTTTTTATTTTAATTCTTTTTGACCTTCGTGTTTGTTATTAAAATGACCAACCCAAAAATTAACGACTCTCTTACTCTTTAATTAAAGACATTACATCAATCCTCCTCTTCTGATCTCATGTTCCTACGTTTCAGGTCGGCGTACGTCTCATACGGTGGCCTGCTGATGCGCCTTCAGGGGGATGCCAACAACCTTCACGGCTTTGAGGTGGACAAACACATCTATCTGCTCATGAAGAAGCTGGCTTATTAGATCACCTGGTGATATCACGCTCAGGAATAAGTCTCGTGTTTTTCTTTGGTATATATTTTGTTTCTTAGGTCTTGATTTTATTTTGAAATCTTTCATGATAGTGATTTTTAGGTTTTAAAAGGAATGTCAGCGAGATGCTTTGCAAAGATTAGTTCTTATTCTTTTTCCTTAACCATGGTCAGTTCAATTATGTGATGTAAGAAATGATAGGTTGACAAACAAATCATGTACAAGTTTTGTAATAAAGGTTTTTCAGATAAGTGGTGGCTGTCCTTTATAACCCTTGACTGTACTTTGCATTTATTTTGTTCCTAAAGAAAAACTAAAAAAGTAGAAAATGTCAGCCTCACATCCTACAATACTGCCCACTAAAGATCTTAGATGTTCACAGAGCTGAAATTATATTAAATCCTAAAAGAATGACATCATCTGGCCAAACTGTTACATTAATTGACTAGTGTTTTCGGTAAAATTTTTCTTGGCTCATGAGTGGCAACAATCTGAAACAGTGCCATCTTTAGCAGTTACCAAGAAATACTTTGTTTCAAACTGCTAAATTAATGGTGAGGTCACATTAAGACTTAAAGTTCACTGATTTATACACGTTAGAATGTTCTCTTTATTATTTGAGGCTTTCATGAAAATGTAAGACTTGTCACACAGTAGGCACAATAAAATGACAAAAATGTAAGGAAGAAAAACAGCATTGAGATTAACAGATTTATTATTTGCTAGTTTTCTTAAATCTGTGTTAATCACCTATTATAGGTTGTGAAAATAATAAAATCATATAAATAAAAGAGGAAATTATTCCATTATTTGAATATTCGGTAAAGTAACATCTAAAAATAAGATATATACTAAAAACTAATTCTCATTTTCTCATCAATTAAGCCTAACGGAGAAAAAAATCTGAAACAGACAAACAAAATTCCCATCTGCAGAAAATTTTGTCTATCCTAAGTCCTTATCACAAAGGCAAATTCATGCATGGTATGGTATGCAGGCCTTGGATACAAAAAACAACAACACAGAAACTGAATTCAAGAGTCAAAGTATGAACTCGCAATACAAAATCCCTGAAACATTTTGGTCGTGAATTTTTTTATTCCTTGTACCTGTGGCTGTTTACCTAACACTAAAATGGAATATCATAGCACCACTACTAGAATAATGTATTGGTTATAATATTTATAAATATATTTTAGCACATTATACCAGTATGTAATTTAATTTGTTTATATATATGGCTGTGTGTAAGAGAGAGCTTGTGTATATGTACCTGTGTATGTTTAAAGCATGGGTAATTTGCATATTATGCATGAACAATACATGTATTTTGCGTCTGATGAACTAATGCATCAGTTATGACTCCCTTAAATGCTAGTATCAGGTCATTTAAGAAAGGAATCAATAAAATGAAAGTTAATGATATCTAGAATCATCCTAGAAATATCTAAAAATCGAAAAATAGAAAGAGACAGCTATAGAAATACAAAACAAGACTAGTGTGATATAAAGAAAACAGATAGAAAGAAGACAGTATTTAGAAGATAATGCATAACTGTCCACTTTTACAATGGATAGTTAAATTGTCACATACTGCCACTACTTGCCCACCTGCAGTACAAAAAGACTTTCCCAAAAACACTCTTCTAACTCATGTTTACCAGAACTTTCATTCCTATGTACAAAATCTTACAACTCATGCTTTCCTGGTGTTTGCGGGACCTGTCTTCGAGTATATTCACTTCTTTTTTGAGTAGAACTTGGTATTGAGGAGGTGGAGTAGGAGGTTCACATTAACTTTTACTTTGGAGAACATCTTCTTGACTGTAACGCCTTCATACTGAAGCTGTAGTAACTCCTGGAAAGAGATCAGATTGTCGTTTTGATTCATTGTCTTTTTTTTAGTATGATATCACTCTCTACAAGTTCTCTACTTTCAATTGATTTTATTTTATTTAAATATACCAGTAAATATTTTATGAAACAAAACTGAAAATGGAATGGCAAGCTCGTCAATCTTATCAACTTTGGTTCACTTAAAATCAAAATTATCTTGATTCAAATTACTAATATCTGCCTCTCATCACTCTTGAACTGCCCTTAATTCAGAACTCTTACTTCACTTCCTGAAAGAGGAGTATTTAACTCAACACAATAAATGCCATCAAGAACTGTACCTGAATATCAATTTCAACAAACTCCATTGGCACCCCCATGAACTTGACCTGAACATGGAAAATACCAGTGGTAGCCAGAGGAGTGATTTCAAATAGCACATTCTTCCTCTGTGTCTCAGGCAGGTCTTCCACCTCCAGCAGTACACCTTTCTCCATGAGTTTGGTAGCTGGGTACTTGATGGTCTGCTTTGAACGTGTCTTCTCACCATTTTGCTTGCTTGAGGCCTGGTGCACATTCCTTGGAAAAAGAGATTCGGGAAATGCAAATAATTTGGGGGGTTGATATTTTTTTCACTACTGTTCAGCCATCGAATACAAAAAAATATTTGATTTAGTCTCATCTGCTACAATTAATAACTTGTGAGTAAAGTAATACAAATTTATAAGCATAAATTAAAATGCCTCAGATTAATACACATGCCATATGTACCAACCTGACCTACAGGAAATATAATCAATAATTTCTTCACAAATTTTCAAAGAACAGATTGCAACTGATAATACACACAAATTTACTAGATCCTTTGTCAAACTTTACCCATCCATAATTACAGCATGGCCCAAGCACATCACAATATAACAAGAACTTACTTATTTCTGGCTGCAATATTGGCAAGGCAGGTACTGAGGTAGGTGTGGTATGAATCCAGCTGATCCCGGTAGAACTTTTCTTTCTCCTCTAACTGTTTAGCTGTCACTAGTAGTCTCTGCAACTCCTATATGCCAGAAATATTTATATAAAAATATGGAAAATAAAAAGAGTAGTGAAAAAAGGGAGTAGGAGTAAATTCTTTTGACTGAGTTATCCAACAGTTACTAATTAGGTGAGCAAGAATAAGGAAAATATAAACGGTAGTTAATTGAAAGGTAGTAGTAAATTCAAACAATTACTAATAAGATATACATCATGTGACACTGAATATTATTCTTAAAAACAACCATAACCATATGTCTTCGCCCATAATGACGGCTAGTGAAATTCATAATTTACCTGTCTGGAACTGAAAATATACACTATTTTGCATATCAAAAACACTAAAACAAGCAGCATCCTCACCATTCTTCGAGATATTCTGTGTTGCCGCTGATTAACAATGTCACTGGCAATTGCATTCAAGAGGGTCTGGTAATTGTCTGAGCGACTAGTCAGGCCCTGATTTTCTAGCCTGCGCAGGTTGTGGGTCAGACGGGTTTTAACCTCGTGCAAGCTCACCCTGGAAATTTGTCATGGTAAACAGACTTGTTAGCAAACTATTATTCCCAGCTACATCTGAACCTTGGAAGAAGAAAGTCAGAAATTATGGAGGATAGTATAACATTCAGATAAAAGTTATTCCCAAAAGAGGGGAATGATGGGGTGATTAGACATTAAATATCAAGGTTAATATTCACATCCATACTAGTTGTCTAAAGTTGTAACCCAATAATACGGGAATCAAAGCAATTGGGTCTAATTGTGGTATGCAGCTGCAATTGCAATAGTATTAATTTTCAGTCTTTCCTTGAGTTCATATATGCTTTTTTATTCTATTAAAAATTATATGTAAACATTTAGTACTCCTTAACCCACTGGATCCAGATACTTCACTGCCATCACTTACAGGCTGTGTATTGTGTTTTCTGAAAATAGGCTTACATAAGGGACCAAGATGGGTGTGTGGCTTGTAAGCTGGGTGCACATGAACACTTTTTTTGCTTTTTTACTATTTTCTAATGTCTATATTTTTCATTTGATTTGCTTTATCCACAAAGTAAGACTGTTTTCCTTGCACAGATTTCATATCATCTCTTTTGGTAGTCCATTACTCAGTGCAATAGTAATAGCAATAAGTAACATTTTATTTTTATCATTTTTAAATATTTCATAAAAAGAGAAAAAAAAAAAAAAAAAAAAAAAAAAAAAAAAAAAAAAAAAAAAGTTAAATAAATATTTATTTTTTTCATAAAGATAAAGAAAAAAAAAATGTAAAATAGATGTTTGATGCAGTGCAACTGAGAGAATTCATCTGTAAAATAAAACACTGGCTGGAGCTTAACCACTTCACCTCACTTCATGATTCATAATGAATCCAGAGGGTGTTGGTGACCTACTATGAAGGGGAAATGGAATTTCTAAATATAGATATCAATCACTCTGGACCTATACTCAATCTTCCCCAATACTCTTGAATTAAGTAATTAGAAAATAGAAAATGCGGTCAATGCAATGCCTCCAAATTGAATTTAGGCGGAAGGTAACCCACAATACCTTGGACAAAAAATTAAGTAATTAGAAAATAGAAAATGCGGTCAATGCAATGCCTCCAAACAGGTATCATTAAACCCAGGCTAACCGTAAGCCCTACCTGGTCTCAGCAAGGAAGGAGTTGGAGCGGTTGAGTGCCGTGTGGTTGAGCTTGGCTTGGTGCTCTTGCCGGGTGCGTGTGTGGATGATGGAGCGGTACCTTTCCTCTTGTGGTGACAGAGTTGGTCCCGTCACCAGCTGCCCAATGGAACTTCCTTCCACACACCGAAGCACATCTACCAAGAGCTGCTTTGTCCTGTTGAGGAGAGCAATAAAGAACGTCACACAAGTTATCGTGTCTCTTCTATGTTTACAATAATTCAACACCAAATACCTTTTCCTAATGTTTACCTTTCTCCTATCTATCTATTTACCTAATATCTATTTGCACATATAAATAGATATCTATGCCTATCACACCTTTTCTTCTATTCTTAGAGTAAATGTGACGCTTACCTGCTGAACATTTTGTTGGAATCCTTCGAGTCCTTTTCTTCTGCCGTTTCTGTCACATCAAACTTGTTGATGAGTGCCAGACACACTTCCATCCTGCCTACTGTGCCGGAGCATGATTCTGGGTACAAGGATATTTTTATTAATAACAGTAAATCATACTATATCTATCACATATATTTTGTTTTGTTCAACTGTTTAATTCTTATTCAACTCTTCTGTCCCCTTTCTACATTATTCATCTATTTCTCCCGCTATTTCTTTCCTGCCACCTACCTAGAGCCTCTCCCACGAGGGCATGGACTGAGGGTCTCTCCCCAAGGTCAGAGAGTAGGAC